TCCAGGAGCTCCTTGTTCATCCATGCAGGCCTCCTGGTGTTCCTACCTGACTTTCACTTTGTTGGGATGCACCACTCCTGAGCTTGAAGGAGGTGATCCTTGAATATTATCCAGCTTTATTGGGCCCCTCTTCCCTCCAGGGCTTCATCCCACTGTATTCTACCAAGGAGATCCCTGAAGAGGCTGAAGTCTGTTCTCCTGAAATCCAGGGTAGTGAGCTTGCTGTGCACCCTCCTTGCTTCCCTAAGTATCTTGAATTCCACCATTTCATGATCACTGCAGCCAAGGCGGTCCTTGAGCGTCACGTTCCCCACCAGCCCTTCATTGTTAGTGAGAACAAGGTCCAGCGTAGCACCTCTCCTCGTTGGTTCCTCTACCACTTGGAGAAGGAAGTTATCATCCATGCATTTCAGGAACCTCCTGGATTGCCTATGCCCTGCTGTGTTGTCCTTCCAACAGATATCAAGGTGGTTGACGTCCCCCATGAGGACCAGGGCTCATGAACGTGAGGCTGCTCCTATCTGTCTGTAGAGGGCCTCATCCACTTGGTCCTCCTGGTCAGGTGGTCCGTAGCAGACCTCCACTACTGTGTCCCCTGTCCCTGCCCTCCCTTTAATCCTGGCCCATAAGCTCTCAGTTGGCTCCTCATCCATCCCCAGGTGCAGCTCCATGCACTCTAGCTGGTCTTTGATATAGAGGGTAACCCCTCCTCCTCTTCTCCCCTGCCTTCCTTCCTAAAGAGCCTGTACCCTTCTATTCTGACACTCCAGTCATAGGATTCATCCTACCATGTCTCCGTGATGCCAATAAGATCATATTCCAAGTGGTGCGCACACACTTCTAACTCCTCTTGCTTATTCCCCATGCTGCATGCATTAGCATAGAGGCATTTAAGTTGGACCATAGATGAATCTGACTTCCTGGCTGGAGTTGCTGGAATTCCTTTCTGCTGCTCTTCAGGTGCTTCCAGCATATCTTTCTCAATCTTGATATTACTCCCCTCCCCCTTCGAATCTAGTTTAAAGCCCTGTCAATGAGCCCTGCTAGCTGTTGTGCTAAGACCCTCGTTCCCCTCTGAGAAAGGCAAGTCCCATCTGGTGCCAGTAGGCCTGGTGCCATGTGGCCCATCCCATTATTGAAAAAGCCGAAGTTGTGGCGATGACACCAGCCACAGAGCAACATATTAATCGATTAGATGCATCTGCTTCTTCCAGTGTCACTGCTTGCAACTGGAAGGATAGAAGAAAAGATAACCTGTGCCCCAGATCCTCTTACCAGCTTTCCCAGGGCCCTAAAGTCTCGCTTGATCGACTTTGGACTTTGTGTTTCAGCTTCATCACCTTCCACGTGGAAGAGCAATAACAGATAGTAGTCCGTGGGCCGTATCAGGCTAGGAAGTTTCCTAGCGACATCTTTAACTCGGGCCCCAGGGAGGCAGCAGACTTCCCTCAGAGCAGGGTCAGCCCAGCATATTGGATCTTCTGTTCCCCTCAGAGGGAGTCGCCTATAACTATTACTCTTCTTTTCTTCCTTGTAGAGACGGTCTTGATACTGGAGGTTGTCCTTTCTGACCCTGGTGACACCTCCAGTGCAGAGGGACCCTCAGCCACATCATCCATCGATGGGCCTTCCACCTCCAGAGCTTCACACTTGTTCTGCAGAGGCACCTGGGGAGCTGAGGTAGGCAAGGAGAGGGGTCACCTGTTGCCCTGAGCACGGATTTGCTGTCATTCTTGGCTTTCCTTTAAGTTACTGTCTTCTGCCTTGTGGGGTGAGGAACCAGAATCCCCTTCGTCTTGGGGTTCTTTTTTTGCCTCTCTCTGTTTTTGCTTCAGGTCAGGCAGAACCTGACAACACCAGTCTCTGTCTTTCTCAGATTCCCTGATGCACCTTAACCTTTCTATTTCCTCTCTCAGCTCTGCGACTATGATGAGCAGATCATCCACCTGGTCACACCTCAGACAGTTGTTCAGACCACTTACCATGGAGAGGCTCAGGCATGAGAAAAATATTACAGCAACCTATAAATACTAAACTACACATAAGAATCTACCAGAAAAAAAATACAGTCATACAGTGACAGTAAAATTTCATCTTGTAAGAAACTTTAATGGAATTTCTTTGGTGGCTTGTATTGACATCACTGTGTGATCAGTGGGCATCATGTGTCAGTACTTTGCACAGGAATTTGCATGATATGGAAATTCATTTTAAAAAGATGATAAACTCACAAATACATACCCATATAAGCCATGAATCAATAGTCCCAAACATAGCTCTTCCATCATCAACTGCTTGCCTAATCTCTTCCACATTATCCAGAAGCCATCGAAGCTTCACTGCACTAAAATAAGTGCTAAGTGGAAGACCAGTCCTAAACTGTAAATAAAGAAAAATCATTTAAACACCATGCAAGACACTATGCAAGAATCTTTTCCATGAATACCGTAGATATATATAAAAATGGTGATAGTAAGTGAAAAACTGAAGACACAAAACTCAGAGAAATTACACAAACTTGCTATTTAAATAGGTCCTAAGCATACAATACACAAGTCTGAAAATATCAACTACAAATGACCAGTGCATTAAAGATCAAAGCTGATCTAAATGTAGTTCAAAGACCATTTATGTGGAAATAGTTGTTTGCCGAAGTCCTGTCTTATCTAGGATATCTCCATATGACTAGACAGCAAGTAACAACAAAAATGAGCAGCATGACACAGGAAAGATGGAATTTGTATTCTACTAGGATTTAAAAATCAAATAAGTTTATATGCTTTTTGACATCCATTTCCTGCCTATAGGAAAACATATATAAAATATAGAATATTTAATCAAGGAAAATATAAATCAAAGAATTATGACACCTTTTCCCAAATTGTTATATATATACCCATCTAAAAAAAAAGAATGAATTTACTCTTTATAAACTATCATCTTCCCAGTTCTCAGATTGGTTGCAATTAATTTCAATATTAAGGCATAAGATGAGAAAGGATAACATATTTCATATCCATAAATTATTTTGCAAACTGTTTTTTTCTACTTGTTTTTAATTTTTGTGTGTATTGTTTACTTATCATTGGATAGGTAGCACATGATTAAGTCTCACTAATAGTTACTTATTTAACTTCTCTAGTGAGATATGTGAGGGGTGTTAGACATTTCCCAGTCTCAGATCAGTGTACAGCATTATGCACATTTCTTATTACTTGACAAGCTAAGAAGGGACTAGAAGCTACAACTGACTTACTTTGTTTTGGAGAATTTTAAGCACACATCTCCAAAACCTTATATATTGTAGCAATAAGAGTTCAGCTACTATTTAAATATTCTGGAATATCTCTTACCTTAAAAAACGCTTTGTTTCTTCCTGGAATTCTTTTAAGAAGCCGTTCAACTGTTGACTGGGTTCTCAGGTCGAGCCACACTAAAAATATGAATAAAACTAACTGATCAACTGATTTAATACACAAAAAGTGACAATTACAAGCTTCTTCTACAAAACTAGAGCTCTTGCCAGCAAATTCCTGTCTATATTTTTAGCTTTTCAAGTAGCTGAAAGAATATTGTATTGCCATTGTATTTTAAATGCACTGTTGGAAAAATTAAAAATGGTTAGATAAACTCATTTGATTTAGAAGAACAAGCTATTTGAGAAATCAAACAAGATTTTCCACGTAATAGGATATATACTTTTCTCTAATCAAAGCCTAAGCAAACGGTTAATACTACTTTGTTTACAGCAGATGACTGTTGTTAATCTAAGAGCTTAAAACAAATAGCAGGTTGATTATTTACTATTCCTATGAAAACTTTGAACTGAAGTGCAACGTCAGAGTTATCAAGGTACAGCTGGCTTAAGACAAAGCTGTTAACAACATATATTTGAATACAGAAGAGTCCTGGTTTTTCAGTGAAACTATGCCCAAATAAATCTGGCACTTGACATGGCCTAAAAAAACAAATCTAGGTAACTACTGTTTCTCATCTGACAATCTGAAAAGCTAAGGTAAATTAAAAATAAACCTTCAAATTAATAAGTATTCATTAAACCTACCTAACACGTTTTTCCTTTACAATTAAATCAAAAGCATCCTGAAAATTTAGTAAGATCCTTCATTTAAAAGGAACTGACTGGGCGTTAAGTCAGAGTTTCATTACATGCCAGGGATGTACAAAATCCCTCAGGAACATTGTTTTTTGTTAAAAGCCTATAAAGCAATTTATTAAGTAATAATTTTAACAGAATAGAGGTTTTTTCATTGCACTGGTGTACACAAACACACAGCTTATGATACAGATATAAAAATAATAAAAGAAGTAGGCTAGGCCACTATGAGTTCTGCACAGGAAAACAGGGAAGCATTTTTCTACAACACGCTCATTTTAAGGTAATACATATTCAGAAAGTATAGTAGTTACCAATAGCATTATAAAGAGGTTCTCCAGTTGTCTTGTCCCAAACCACTGTTGTTTCTCTCTGATTGCTGACTCCAATGGCTTCAGGACAAAATAGAAAGAAGTATCCTTTTCAGAAGGTTTGTTTTCCCCTTTTGGGGGTGAGGGAGGGAAAGGAGAGGTGGAGAGGAGGGAGGAACAGGTAAGGAGAAGAGGAAAGTAAACGGGAAATAAAAAGCTTCCAACTTTTTCATGTTATAATCTAGAAATATTACTTCTAAAAACTCATCATTCAACTTTTGCTGCTTAACCTATTTGCTTTAAATTTCTCCTTTTTTTTTTTTTTACAACAAACTAAGACAGCAGCAACACTGACAGGGAAACTAGCTTCTCCCAATAAGTATTAATTTACATTTCAGAATTTCTTCATTCATCACTTGTCTCTGTGATTTTGCAAGATTAAGTTAAGTCTACTTTGTAGATTCTGCATTGCTAATATACATGAAGGACTTATTTTCTCATCATTCCTCCCAGACAAACTGCTCCAATCCCAATTTAACATTTCCTTTGAGGCCAATACATGCTGCCACCTTTCTACTTATTGACTTAAAACCAAGAAAATCTGACTTGCTCAACCATGAGTATTTTAGAGTTCTCAGATACTCTTAAGTACTAGGAATACCTTTTATGTTAGTGATGTCTATGTTCAGTTGTTGCAGTTTCTCACAGGTCCTTTCCACACATTCATGGACAGACTTTAGTATTTCCTTTGGATCTTGTTCCACCCATCTTTAACAAACAGTAAAGATCAGTTAATGAAGAGACAAAAAATCACATTTAGGATAAAAAAGAAATTCTAGTCTGAAAAACCAGCTGAGCATTTTGACACAATCGTAATTACCAAGCATGTTGTACATATCTAGAAAAGGGGTAATGAATTGCAAACCTTTTTTGAACAGTAAGCTGTATATTCACAACAAAACCATCTGCAGAAACCAAAGAATTTTGTTTTCTTTTATTCTACACAGAGGGCTTTGGAAGCAAATGGTAGGTCAGTTAAAAACGAACAAACAAACAAACAAACAAACAAAACACCTAAGAGAACAAACTAAGCAATTTCTATGGACGAAGCTGAAGACTATGATTAAATTGTAAAAATGACAGCTTTACCACTTTAAATGAGACTTTAAAGTTTAAATATGTTAATGAGTGGTCAGAGTAAAACACTAAGTATTTTTAGTTTACATGACTCAGAGCAGATATCGGACACCCAATGTGAGTTTTTTTATGCCGTTTTTTCCACCACACAGTGTTCTATAGCAGATACTATGTTCTTAATAATTCAATCAACTTCAGTTTTCATCATTCATAGATAAAAATACACAAGCTCTACCAAAATGTACACAAATAAAATACTGGAGAAAATTCATACCCTTCTTTAGGGAATTTCTGCTGTATCTCAACTTGATGATGACTCAAGAGCTCTGCTGTTTTTGCATTAAAAACCTGCAAATAAATTACACAATGAAATTTTCTATGAACATAGATGTTTAAACAACAATAAATTAACATTTATTCTTTTGAATAAATACAGTGCCATGATAATTGACAGTAATTTTTTGTCATCAACTCAAATATCCATATAACTTGTGTTCAGATATATGAATTTTTGTAATTAAGGTAAAGTACAATATTTTGGTAAGCTTTGCTGTCAATTATAACCGCTTTTTTTCTTGATGGATTCGGAAAGAACCTGTCAGTAGGATGCCATCCTACCTTTTCATGGCAAGCAGAGGAGGGTCAGATTTAGAAAACACTTTTGTGCTAACGGTACAAAACTCAGTTATACCTATCCACTCTCTAGGATACAACTGAATCTTTTCTAGATGTCCTTGGTAATGTTCTCTTCTCATTCCACAAATTTTAGGAATCTCTCTTAACGCTTTTAATCCATAAACTTTTGATTTCATTTAGGTAGTACAGTTTACTCTGAAACTATTAAAACTGTTCTGACAAAGAGCAGATTAAGTTCTGATTGTACAGTTTCTTTGAAATCCTAAAGTGTACCTTTAGGGTGAGACTTTGAAGTTTAGAAACATTCTAGTTATGTATTAGAATCACAGAATAATTCAGACTGAAAGGGACCTTGAGAGATCTCTAGTACAACCTCCTGCTCAAAGCAGGGTCAGTTATGAGATTAGACCAGGTTGCTAAAGGACTATTTCTAGACAGATCTTGAAAACCTCCAAGGATGGAAACAGCACAACCTCTCTAGAAAATACTAAAAGCTAATTTTTCCCCTCCACTGCCCAGAAAAAGAAGTCTTAAAAAGGTACACATTTGATCTTTTCTGTTATCGGTTGGAAAGATTATCTGTATTTCATCTACCAGCTCAGGCTTGACATGAAGCTATCTTAATAAAACCGTAAGCTCTGTCAGTACTACATGATTGGAAAGAACTGGTATAACGAGATACAGGTCTCAAAACACCATGCAATATAGTTAATAGGAGAGATTAAGTTTTGCACAAATACAGCAAGATCTTTTTTACTTGAAATTGCCTTTCTGCCAAAAGCATAGCAACATTTACTGTTTTTTATAATAAAGATAGAAAGATAGAAGACTTTTTATTGAACCTGTATGAATCTGACCTACTAACAATGTTAGATATCATTCAGTAATCATTCACCATTAATCATTCAGTATTGCTCGAAACAGAAGGCACTGCATAAAGACTTCTACTGTCAGCATAAATAAATACAGATTCAATTAGACAAGGTCATTCACTGAGCCTGGTGTGTGCGACCTGCAGATAATAAAGGGTGAAGCTCTAGCACAGGAAGGCTTTTTACCTCCTTCTAAGCAAGCTGTTCTAACAGCAATAAATTCTCAACAGGAGCAATAACACTACAAATGCATAGATTTTCATGCCCACAGAGAAGAACAAGGTAAATGTGCTCTCCTAATCTGTCACAAACAAAACCACAAGCTTCTGATATCCTCAACAAAAGCAGCAGACACTCCCTGTACCGCAGGGAAAGGGATTAAAAAGTTTCACAGGGAACAATACCATGTTCTACAGTGACAAATAGAATCCTGATACATGAAAGGATGCCAAACATAAATGAGTCATTACATTTAAACCTAGAAGATGATAAACAAAGTAGGGAATAAATAGAATAAATAGTACCTCTCCTTCTTCCCCATCCCTCCTCCCCTAAAAGAACCGTGTTGCCAAAAAAAAACCCAAATGGTCCCTGTTTCTCCCTGACAGTGGTGAGAGAAAGAAATAAATGACAATAAGTATGAGTAACTCAGATAAGGTCAATGCATTCCTGTTGAAACAGGTCTGAAGTGTATTTCTGTCACTGCTTGCCTTTCTTCATTAAGAACTGGTTCCAGTTTATGATACTGATCTCTCACTTTTCATAGGGGGAAAAAAAAAGTCAAAGTCAGTTTTGACCTAATCGTATCAGCAGTAGTCACAAAAGAATTGCCTAGGCTATCTGGACACATAGAGCTATCTTGAACAGAGATGATTTGATGAAAGTCAGTGAAAACCACCAGATATGTACTGAATTCTCTGGTGAGAGATTAAAAAAAAGGAATAAATAACACCCTCCTTCTGCTCTCAACAAATTATGATACAAAGAACTGGAGTTTGAGCGTTGAATCTCAGAATGAAGGAGAGAAGAAATACCTACTTAGCTGTGCTGTATGTAAGCAAGCAGACGTGCAAGGGCTGATCACTTAATTCAAGCTCTTTTTAGGGTCTCTAACATAACACGTGACATCATACGAAGGGGTGCGAACAGTTGCATGGTATTACACTGAGTATCATCTTACTGGAAAAACATTCAGATGAATCAGTTGTAACAATTTTCAAAGAATGAAAGGGAGTATGAGACAAACAGAAACATGAGGCACATGGAAATGATGCAAGAAGCTGCACAGCTGAAAAGACAATCATGAAAACAGATTTTAGAAGTAACTTTTCATGACTCTCAAGCTTTGCCACATAACTGCCTGCAGAAAAGCTACTTTTGTCAGCCTATGCTGTACGCTCCTGAGTTTCGGTTAAGATGGAACAGCTATAGCTTTGCAGGCAAACAAGATCAGACCTGGAGTTATGAAATTGCATTGAAATCAACCCAATGGAGGAAGGATGACAGACAAATAATAATTCCACCTTTAGCATTTAACTAGGATTAGCAGGCAGTCAGAATTTATGAATAAGTACAGTTTAACAAGACTCTAGAAATTACTATGCTTGGAGGGCTCCTGATGAACAGACCTCCCTTCCCCTTCCCCTGCTTATGATTACAGGAATAAAAAGAAAAACTATAATGTATTTAAAGTCATAAGAGCTAAGAGTTAGGGAAAAATTAAAGTATTTGCAGTATTTTTAACCCTTCTTGTTAGCCAGACAACCAGGTTTTGCTTTTTCCCAAAAGGTCCCATTGCTCCAGTAGAGGGGTGAAATAGATTGCCCTCTGAAGGGTAAGCTCAACCGGTACTAAGTTTTTCTAAACCAGTTTTGTTTGTTTGTTTGTTTGTTTTTTCTAAAATCAGTTTTTGTTTACTGAAAAGAGTGCTTACAATGTGATATAGCTTTATTTAATTGTTTCTTCTGGAAATGAAGTAAAGGAAGAAAGACATATTCCACTGAGGTGGAAAACCAAAATTGTCAAAATTGACAAACCTAGAACTTGAAGTACTGTATAGGTACTTCACTGTATGTGTACTTTACAGAATATTTTGATTCTTGCTGTTCCTGGATAAAATTCCAGAAAGACTCTACCCAGAAAATACCTTTTAAGAGATCAGGCAGTGGTTCAGAAGGCCAGTAGCTTCTGATCTCAAGACTTTTAGCAAAAGAAGTTACAGTGGATTTTTGTTATATGATTCTTGAACAAAATAAAATTGAACATGAGAGATGCAAGTATTTGATGAAAATATTTGGCAAAACATCTAGACCAGAATTTAGTCCTCTGAGTACACTTGTTCAGCCTACTCAATTTATTTTCCTTTTTGGTTGGTATCTTTAAGAAAACGAGCCTTAAGCAATTGCACTGGTACTCAAAGCACTGCGCTCTCCCTGGTACATCTGGATCTGTTATCGAGGTTCAACCCAACTTAACAGAAAAGTTGAGATCTCAAAAACAATTACAGTTTATTTTGCAAAAGCAAGTAGTTTATCAAAGAAAAGATTCAAATGAGGGTCCCTGGAGGGTAAAACTATAGCATAAGCTAAAACTTTATGTGCACTTTGTGAGAGAGGCAAAGATAAATAAGGAGTGACAGGAACAGAAACGCACCAAAGTTCTGGTGCTTCTTTATTGCCTGTGCTCATACAGCCTCATTCACATAAGCAAGAGAATCTCTCAAAACTTGTTTTCATACACAGAATAATTAATTCTAGAAGGAATCTCTGGAGGTTGTCTAGCCTAACTTGCTGCTCAGGTAAGCTTAAATTTAAAGTTAGACCAGGTTGTTCAGGACCTTTTCTAGGCAGGTGATGAGTATCTGCAAGGATGGAAATTCCACAGGCTTCTTAGGCCCCTGATCCAGTGTGCCTCATAGTGAAACAGTTCTTGCTGACATCTGTTTGAAACTTCAATTGCTGTAACTTGCATTCATTGTCTGTTGTCTTTTTCTGTGAACATCTGAGAAAAAGCTGGTTCTATGTTGTCTGCAAACTGTAGTTAGATAGCTGAAGACACCCCCTTAGACTCCCTTGTGATAAAACAACCCCTGATCTCCCAAACTCATGCTAGTGACCCTCTGCTGGACAAAATCCAGTTCTTCAGACTCTCTCTTCCTCTGGGGGGAACCATAACCAGACACAGTGTTCTCTGTGCTGCCTCCTAAGTGCCACACAGATGGCAATAACCACTTCCTTTGATTCGCAGTCTGTACTTTTCTTAATGTGGTTCACCTTCACTGCCACAAGGACACAATGCTCACTTGTATTCAACTTGCTGTCTAGTAGGAATCCGGGTCCTTTTTCACCAAGCTGCTTCTTAGCCTTCTATCCCAAGTGCTAAACTATGTTGAACTTCATGAAGCTTCTGCCAAGCCCCTTCTCCAGCTGGAATTCCAGTCAACTGCTCTGCCCAGCTTGTGGTCATCTGTAAACTTGAGAAGGCATTCCAACCCATCCCCAAGGTTGCTGATGAAAACACTATGGGGTATCACCCCTCACTACTGACTGCTGTGGAACATGGCTTGTAAAGTGGTCACCTGTTATTGTAAATTTAGACTCCGAACTGTTGACACTACTCTTTGGCCTCAAAGGACCAGCCAGTTTTTCACCCAGACATCTTTAACCTGGTCAAAATCTTCCGTCTTAAAAACCTAGGTAACAGTTGCACTGTACTACTGAATAAACATGTGCAAAGTAACCAACAATTTGATTTTGACTGGTGACTTGGTGAAGACGAAAATTGTTAGAAGCACTAGAGAAAAAAAAAATGTAGAGAGATCATTGAGAAAGGTAGGCAAAATAACTA